AAACTATGAGCTTATTAAAATTTAAGTTAGAAATATCTCATGCTTTATTACAATGTGGAAAAGTTCAAACGCCAAAAAGATGTAGACCATTATCTAACACACCACTAACTAAAAAAATAAGAACTTTTACTCCAAGACCAACTAACGATGTTAGATATGATGAAACTGGACATTGGCCAATTCGAGTCATAAAAAAACAAAGATGTAAAAATTGTATTACATGTTATTTTACAACAAAATGTGATAAGTGTAAGTTACACTTATGTTACAATTTAAAAAACAATTGTTTTTTAAACTACCATAAAAAATAAGTTCCTATATTTTATCCTATCATAAAGTTTAATAAAAAAGTCTGAATATCGATCTAAGTACTTATTGTTATAATAGGATTATTATAATGTTATATTTTCAAGTTTTTATTGAAATTTTGTTCTTATTAAGATTTGATTATTATTATATTTTTATCAATAAAAAGCAACAAGTCGTTGAATTTAGTACACAGTTTGATTTATATTTTATTTTATGTTTATGATTTTCATCTAATCTAACCTATTGTGTTGTGTAATATAGAGTTTGATTTGGGGTTATGAGTTCACTAAATAAATTCAATTCTTGTAATTTGGAAAATATGTTGGAAAATAAAAAAAAAAATTTTTAATCGCTACTTAGTTCCCAGTGATAATTTTAAGCATCATGTCTGTAAAATGTTGGTAAGTTTTTCAAAAATTACAAAAAAAATTTTTTCCCTTAATTTAACTTCTATAAAAGCCAAAAATGAGAACAGACATTTTTTTTTGAAAAAATTTAATATATTGGGCTTGAAAGGGTTAACGGCGTACGGAATTGACGTCAGCGCATGCGCAAAATGTATAATACTTTAGCGATCCTATGGGGGTCCATCAGTACTACTCCGCCGAGGTCCAAAACGTCCGCATATCTGGTTGCCGTTTTTTTCCATGGCGTGGGCTATCTATAGTATATTTAATCTATGGTGAATTGGTGGCTGTACCGAGAAAACTTATGATGTATAACAGTGTGCCATGAACCAAAAAAAGTTGAGAACCACTGCATTAGACACTAAAAAGTACATACATAAAACCGTAAACTATTCCCAATATTTTGTAGATCCCACCAGTGGCGAGCACACACAACGCATAGAAAGTTTATGTTTAAAGTTTAACTTCGAATAATAAAAAAAAAATTCATGGTACATCTCCATCATTGCTGCCCTCGTATTTAGCGGAACAATGGTGGCGTCTAAAAAACAACACAGACAACATTTGAATGTTTTGAAGACGTAAAATTATATTGCAAATAATGTAAATAATAAAAATATGTATAAATTATAAATTATGCATAAATTGTACATATTTATTATTTTTCTCTTTTTAATAGTTTTAAAGATTGTGACGTGCATTATTAAATTATTATAATTATTGTGTATCATTAAATCAAATAATATACTATAAATTATAGTTCTACTATAGTTCTACTATTTTAACTATAAAAAGTATGTGATAGAAATAAACTTAACCTAACATATGGCATGTAGAAACATGTGTGGTAGACCGCATATGGTATGTAGAAACAAACATGGTAGATGACAAGTGTGCGGTAGACTGCGTACGACAAAAATACCTATTATTGAACTATATTTATTTTGCAAGAAAATTTTATCATTTTAATTATGTTCAAGAACTTCGTGAAAGATAGTGTTCTAGATCAGCAGTTCTTAACCTTGGTGTCGTGGTGACCCAATATATTTACCCAATTTTTATGCGACCTTTTTATAAATAATATTTAATGGGGGAATAAAAAATAACTGTTGCGGAGTAATTATTTATATAATTATTATATATATATATATATATTATTATTATTTATTTATATTATTTATTATTTATTATTTTTATTTTGTTGTTGAGTAATTAATTTTTCTTGCACTCATATTACTTACGCTAATAACAGGTTAGGTTATAATTTTTGCCGACCCATTTGATATTATTGGCAACCCAAAATTGGATAGCTGCCCCATGCTTGGAGAACCGCTGTTCTAGATCACCTCTTTTCCGATTGGTGGTGTTGATGTTATTGGGGAAATTTTTAGGAGATAGATAATCGTCAAGAAGAATACTTGATGTTACAGGTCATACAATTTTTGCCGACTCCTACCTAAAGATATTTTTTCGTTCAAAACTGAGTCTACAGGCCGAAGGTCTGTTGTAATATATTAAACTACAATAATTATAATTTTGAATAATTTGTTATGTAGCTTGTACCTGTATATTATAGGTGTTAAATATTATTATGTATCTAACGTTTTTTTATATATATACTTTTTTCGAATTATACCTTATAACTGTAGTGTATTTCCAATTACGTTGGTTGTAGAACGAAAATAAAGTGCCAAGAAATAAACAAATTTTGGTTTATATCACCTGAATCAGTAAAAACTAGGAAAAAACAGGCTGCAGTGACTGTTGACATTCAAAACCGATGTATAATCGTTATTTTACCTACATGGTCGAAGAGAATAATCTGACAATGCAAAAATCAGTTAAAATAATAACCATAGATACTTGAAATTTCAGCCAAACGTTTAAATGAACGCTTTTCAATTAATATTTTAACTATTTTTTAGATTTAATACATGGTTGCTCAGATGAATATAAACAAACGCGTATTTTGAAATTACAAAAGTAATCAAATGTCAAAATGTTATTTTCTTCTCGTAAGAATATTGACGATTTGTGTATCAGTATTTTAATTGAATATTTGAAAGCTTTTGAAATAACCACATGAACCTTAATGTTTCAATTTACGTTATTCTAATACATAATCACTTTACCGACTATTACGTGTTCCTCTTGTCGGTATGGTGCCTATAAACTTCTACAATGTAAACCAGGGGCGTATTTACGGTGGCGGATCTGAGAACAGATCCGCCCCCATGGCTCTTTGAGATTTTATACAATATATAAAGTACTAATTATTAAATTCTAATGTATAGGTATTAATTGAAAAGTTTTAACGATCAACAAAAAAAAATCATAATTTCGTTGTATAAAATAACAGTACTTAACATTATATCATATCATCATATTATATATTATAACAGATTTATGATATTATCATTAAATTTCTCGTTGCCACGGTTATAGTTAAACGAATAATCTCACGGCAAGTCACGCGAGCCAGTAGCAATTAGTAACTATGGTTGTACGATATAAATATATATATATTTGTATCATTGAATTACAAAAAAGATTTGAAAAAATTTAATTCAGGATACCTTGTTCATAAATGCCTTGCAATAAAAATATGTGACAAAGATGTTTCTCCTAATGTACAATTTTCGATAAAAATATTTTGCATACTTCCCATCTCAACAGCTGAACCAGAGAGAAGTGTTTCAAGCATAACAGGCAAAAAACGTAATTGAGAAATGTTATGAAAAAAGTTAATTCAATTATATATTTGATCCTTTTAATAAAATAAACTAAAGTTAAAAATTTACGTTTAGGCGAGGTTCAACGATTTATCATTGATGTTTATACATCCAGACATTGAAATAAAAGTTGATGAAGTCATAGACTCATAGATGAGCTGGCATTAGACCCAAGAAAAATTGACCTTCTTTTATTAGTATTAAGAGAAACTGTGTTAGTGATTAATAATCACTGATTATATTAAGATGATTAATAACCTCAAAATGTCTACTCTCTCTGTAGGCACATGCTTCAATTCATTATGAAATATTTCACTAGAACACTTTGCCCACTCAAATCCGTTTAAAATGTTTAAATCAAATGTCTCTTCTTTTACTCTCCCGGATCGTCTTCCCAGATAGTCTATTTTGGATAATTATCCTAAATATTATTACACACACTCTACAGGCTACAGCAGAACGACCTTCCGAATGTACCCAATCATTTTCAGTACAATTTTGTACAGAAGGTTACACGGAAAAAACTATCTAGTCAGAATAACAACAATTATCGTCATTTTAACTGTAATTTATAATTATATATAGGACAGCTATTTTAATAGTTGATTGTACTATCATACATTAGTTGAAATATTACAGTTCTTTCTACTAAATATATAGTTGAAATATTACAGTTCATTCTACTAAATAACATATAGTTGGAGTTACAGTAAATGTGTAGTTATTCCAACTATTTCATTAGTAAAAGCCACATAAAATGTGTAGTTACTCCAACATTATTATTAGTTGCAACTACATAGAATGTGTAGTTACTCTAATATTAATATTAGTTGTAGCTAAATCAAATGTGTAGTTACTCCAACATAATTATTAGTTGTAACTACATAAAATGTGTAGTTACTCCGACATTATTATTAGTTGTAACTATATAGTTATACTTACTATGTAATTAGTTGAACCCAGCAGTGTATTACATGGGGGATGTGGGTGACATAATATCCACCCTAAGATATTAATTTTTACAATACCATATTTAATAAAACATACATTTTTTTTTGTTATTAGTTATTTGTGTAAAAAGATGAAATAGATGTCACCACAACCCTCTAACAAACATTACAAAATTATATCACTACATGGTTGTAATTACATAAAATGTATTGCTTTTATAAATACATTATTAGCAGATATATTTAGGTTATTAATGATAATAAGTATAGAAAGTACATTTGTATGTTTTTTTAAATATTTATGACATTAAGTATCAACTAATTTATAACCAAATTTAGGATTAATTATTCAATTATTGTTAAATAAAGAAAATAACACAAAATAATTACAGTTAGGTACTCATTTTATTTTCCAAAACTAATTATAACAACATATTATATGTATAATAATAAAAACTTAATGTATATTTAAAAATATAGGTACCTATTTAATATTTTACAGATATAAAAACCATATCATTAGATAGTACCACATGATGAGTAGGATTAATATTCCCTATATCTTCTAGAGATACACACAATAAATCTGTAACATTGTTAAATTATACATTAAAGGCTTGATAATGTTCATCAAAATAATTTGTAATAAACGATTTTACAATAGCATATGGTTTATTATTTTCAGTAATAAAAATTAATTTAATTAAACCAAAAGTAGGCAATAAATTATCTTGGCCCTGTTCATCAAGTGTCTGGAGTCTTAAATATTCAGTTTGCATACCTTCAAATGGTGAACCCATATTTAAAATTATCTCTTTAATTTGTGATAGCTCATTGCCAATATTATCATCGTTACATACGCTTATTACTTGATTTATCTTTTCTTTCAAAATAGATAAAATCATACTATTAAACTCTAGTAAATCATCAATAAATTTTTGAACTGTTTTTCTAGGTAAACTAGAGTAACTATACCATTTAGAAATTAAAGCAATACTATTTTGATAAATTTGTTTTTTTATGTCATCTTTTGATTCAATATTTTGATCTACATTAATATTAACATTGCTATTGGGAGATATGTTTGAAACAGCAGGTGGTATTAACTCACAATAAGTATGAACTACTTTATCAATACTATTACAAATTAAATTTATAGGATGATCATTTAAATGTTTCTTAAAAGAATTTAAATTACTGAAACTTCTAAAACAATTCAGCTCTAAACATTTAAACTCTTTAATATTATTAACAATGTGAAATATATTTAAATGTATCATCAGGTGACTAACTGCCTGAAATTGTTCAAAACATAAAAAACACTTAGGCATATTTAAACTTAATAAGTATGTTATACAAAAATTTAATAGAATAAATGAGTTATTTAAAATTATTGAAATCGTTCATGAAACTTTGAACAGCCAAAAACTTCTTGTTGGGCCCAGTTATATAAAAAAAAATGCTTTGAATCAAATACCAAATTTGTTCAGCTTCAGGAGGGTATTTTAAATTAAATGTATGAAAAGACTTGAAGCATACGTCCAAGGCTTTAACTGGACTCTCTAATTTATAATGTATATCATTTACCACTGTAAAACAATCTGTATCATTTTCTTTGTCACTGCCAATGAATACAATGTATGGCTGCACAGTTAGTCCATAGTTAAATGCCTTTTCAACTTTGTTGCTTTGGATTGTTTTCAGCTCATTTGCATTCTAAAACATTATTAATATAAAATATTTTATTCATCAGTGAGTTACAAAATAAAATTAAATAAATAAATATACCGAAATGCTGATCACAAAAGCTGAAGCTTGTTCGATTTTTGAAGGCCTCCAAAACTTTGATTTTAGATTTTTATTCCCATTTTTTATAACAACATTTACCGGTTGAAATAACAGTGGTATAATTTTTATGGCAGCAAAGTCGTCTTGTCCTTTAAAAACAAAAATTAGATATTAGGAATCAATTGATATGAATTTAAGAATATAAGGTACTAAATACCTAGTTAATAAGTAATAGGATACTAATATGTAAAACTTCAGTCATCAGCCCTGGCCCTGTAATAATATTAAAATAGGCAGCACTTACCTTAAGGTGAAATATCGATTACAATGATACACAACACTGCACGGAAGTCAGAAGTAGTCCAGCAAACACGTGTTAAACAACAATAGTCGATAAAAATAAAACTAAGTTGAAAGACAAGAAATCGACGACGATCAACGGAGACGGGGGAATGAGTAATAAGTAATAAACTAATTACAGTACAATACAAACACAAGATTACAAGATTATATTTCTACCGGTTAGTTCGTGCCGTTTGTGGGTTATGAACTATCGTTATTATCCGGGAATGGCCGCGATGAGGGTATTACCTATAAATATAGTTACCATTACCATACTATATAGTTGATAATACTATAATTTTAAATATCAAAATAATATTATAGTAATAGCAACTATTTGTTTTTGTTGGATTATGTCAACTATAATTTCTTGTTACAATTACAATAGTATTAGTTAAGTTGTATAAATATTAGTGAAAATCACTATAAATATACAACAATTTTTTAATAGTATTTGCAGCAATTTAATAAAAGTTAAATTTACTATAAATTAGTAATATGAACTATAAAATATGTAACTAAAATTATATAGTAATTATTTTTTTCCGTGTAAACTAATATTTTTGTTGTATTTCACTCTTCTAAATATTCTTCTATTTACATTGTTTACTAACTAAGTTCAATTACTAATTAGGAATAGATGTATGTTACTACCAATCATCCATTTATGTTAATACCTATTATGAAGTGCCATTGCTATAGTTTTTGATCAAATGTTTTATTTTTGTTTTTCAAACATTACACATCATTATCCTGTAAATATAACTGAGGACTTTTCAAATAATTTGTTTCAATTATTTCTGAATTAAAATATAGCTTTTTTGATTACCTTTACGTATCGGATAGTTATACTTATTTATTATAATTTTTTTAAATATTATTACGGCAGAGCTACCTACCAAATTTACCCAAGCATGTTCAGTACAGTTATATTCAGAAACTAAAAACATAATTTTGGACGTTTACTTTGAGCCTTGTATTGTTGATTTGTAAGTATAAAATAATATGGTATTGATTCAAGCAACACATCTAGGTTACACAGATGTTTTTTGAATGCATATACTTTCGATTAATTTTAGCTGTGTAATTTTACATGTTATTCACAATTTTCAATATTTCATACTAAGTACTAGTAGTCTAAGACCGTACTTTTTTATCTTAGTCAAAACATGGTTAGATTTAATATGTTACGAATTTTTTCAGTAATTGGTTTTACTTTATGTTTATTTCAATTATGTAAGTTTAACTGATTTTCTTTATATTTACCTGAAATATATTACTTTTTACTAAATATTTGGATACTTTGTAATAGAATCCACTACAGTTTATGGTTTATCTTGTTTAATCAAATATAATTAATATTTTTTGAACTATTACAGTTATAAATAATAACTAATATTTTAATATTTGTGTATAGTGTGAATGTATTTTGTATTCACTATTGTCAGTAACAGAAAATTTCCTTGGATAAATAATACACTAATAAAGTTAACAGTATTCCCTAAGACACTTAAAGTATTGAATATTTTTTTATATTTATTTTAAACTATCTTTAGGATATTACCATGTGATAATTAGACAGTAAGATCTTAATTTATTATTAATTTATTTTAGGTGACTGTCAGTGTAAGTGATATTTATTAAACAAACATAGAAAAATAATAACTTATTTATAATTTACCTTATAAGTAGGTATTTTGTAACGACAGCAAATATAAATTAAGAATTTTTATTTTTTCATTTTTTTGTTTAGTTAGTGGTAAGCATTGAAAATTCAATATTTTTTTTAATTGTTAAATTTGTTGTACATCACGTATTAAAAAGCGGGTAAGTTGATGTCACTCTTCTGTACATTAGGTGGTTATTACGTCGCTGTGTAGGATAGTATTAAATTTGAATTCAATGTAGTCAATAGCATATCGTTGAATACGAAAAACGATTTTGAGCAGAGATGGTATGTCAGACTAGGATATTTTATATTCATATTACTGATTATTAATATGGTAGACAATGAGTTGCATTAATATTATTCTTAAATTATCAGTGATGCTGTATAAATGTTAATTAAAAATTTAAGTAGGTAAAATTGGCTAAAATCGTTATTCTTAGTGTTAATATGCAATTAGTAAAATAATTTTTAAATTTTTAACTACAAAATCATTTTTGGTTTTCAATTTAATAAATATTGTCTTATATAATATAAGTGTTAAACAATACAAATAAAAGAGAAGTGTTGCTCTTTAATGTAGGAGTGCATTGAGGTTATGAATTAAAAAATAGCAGACTTGGCCACAATGTAGATTTCACTACTTTGATAGGCCAACATTTTTGAGAGGGAGTTTGGAACTTGGCCTTTTTTCACTGTTATGTTTTTGTTGGGGATTTTTACATCAAGAAAATAGTCACTAGTAAATTGTATTATTCCGCTTCGTCACATAAACTAAATAATATTAATTATTAAATACGGAGGATGTATCATTTGCTTAATAAAACTCTTTAATCTTAACGAGAACGCAAAATGATATATCCTTTTTAGTATCTAATATGTAATATTGTAATGCCTAACACCTTATTCCAATATATAATATGCATTAAACTGATTAATCGCTTATATTTTTATAGCTAGGAAATTTCGGAACTGTTTAAGTGAGTGTGTTACCTAACCTAACCTAATCTAAATATAAATCAAAATCTATAGGTACACGTAATATCATAAATTGGACAAGTGTGATGAAATTTGTTGTACACATTTACTTCCTTCGTTAATCGTTGTAATATAACCAAGCCTGGGCATAAACGCGTTAAAAAGTTAAAAGTTATGTTAATTTTAAATTTTAACTTAACTTATTTTAATTGATATAAATTTAATAAATAACGAGTTACTTTTAATCAGATTCAAGTTAAGTTAATTTATAAATAATTAAATTATAAATAAAATTATTATTGAAATCTGATCCATATTGTATATACATTTACTAGAATAATAGAATAGGAAATACAATTTAATTCTCTTTCCGTTAATCAGAATTGTTCAATAAAAATAACTTAGTTAATTANTAAAATTATTATTGAAATCTGATCCATATTGTATATACATTTACTAGAATAGTAAAATATGAAATAAAATTGAATTCTCGTTCCATTAATCAGAATTGTTCAATAAAAATAACTTAATTAATTATATGTAGGTATACCACTATACCTCGGCATACGGGTGTAGGTAGTGTAAAAATAACAATATTAAATAGTAAATACTAATAAGTAATAACAACGAATATATTATGTATATATAAATATATTATATGTATACATATAAATATATATAATTCGTGCTAATAATTAATACATAATATGAATGAACTTTTGGAGTTTATAACTGATAATGCTCAGTTAACAGAAACAAATCTTGCTGTAACTACCACTGCTTCTACAGACAATAATAGTAGTGATTCTGAAGAAGACTTTTTTAGATTAAATAATTATGAAACCAATGAAAATAACGATATCCAAATAATAATAAACAATTATTTTTCAAACACAAACATTAAAAGTCCATTAGATTTGCCATTAGTTTTAAGAAACGCATATATACAATGTAACACGGCTATTCCTTCATCTGCACATGTAGAACGTTTGTTTAGTGCAGGAGGTTAATTATTAAATAAACGTAGAGGATCAATGGCTGACAAATATTTTGAGATGACTCTTTTGTTAAAATTCAATAAATATTTTACTGATTCATAAGTTTTGCTTAGTTTTCTGAAAAAGTATTCAGTTAAAAATTAATGCCATGTTATTTTTATTTATTAATTAAAACATGTATATTATATATTTACATTATTATCTATTAAAATAAATCAAAAGGTTATTCGTATATCTTATTTTGTACACTTTTGGCACCTACTACAACTACATAATTCTTTTCATCTGTACCTTTATTTTCCAAATTTAGTTTAATGTCGATGAATGTAAATTTTCTGAGTGTAATAATATTTATGAATTCTATTTTTTTAAACCATAATATGACTAGCTATTTATATATTAAAAAAAAATTATCAACTTAACTTAAGTTAATAAGTTAATTGAAAGTTTCCATATAACTTTTAACTTAACTCAGTTAAAAAAAATATTAGATTAACTACTAATTTTAAACTTTTCAAAATGGATTCTATAAACTTACTGAACTCAGTTAAAAATTATCATTAACTTGCCCAGGCTTGAATATAACACTTTTACACCTACGTTTTCATGAAATATGTATTGCTGGAATGTATAAATACAGTAAAAATGCACACTGCCATTACACTGAGTAACAAACAATCAAACAGTTTTAAGTTGTTAATCAAAATATGAAATGCTTAGACAAGTTAGACTATGGTTCAATAATATTCATTATAATCAACACAGATCTTAGAGCAAAACCAAAATACTGGATAATATACAATATCTACTCACCGAGTTTTTATCTAGACTTATAATTTTCATTAGATTTTCTATAAAAACAATGATCATTTAAACGAACAGCATTAATATACACCTATTAGGGGCATTTGAAAAAGTGTAATGTATTTTTAATTTAATACTAGGTACTCATATACTCATTTGTGAATCAATGCTTGAATTAATTTTTCAGGACATATGATCAATGATGGTTTTTCTTGTGATGGAGATGTATTAAGTTTGTAGTTATTTCAATAAATTCCTTTAATAATATCCTAATTATTAATGTCCACTTTTCATCAGGTAGACCTTAAATCTATGCGCCAGAATAGAATATAAATAAATAAATACGAAAAAAATACCTATTAAATATACAAAATAAGTATTTAGTTGTATCTACAAATTAGAATGGGGGGAGGGGGAGACATCGTCAACTAAACAATTAAAAAAGATGTTTAAATAATTAGACAACATTATTGTTTGTTTGTTTTTTTTTCTAATATTGTCAAATAAAATCATTATAGCTCAACACCTTAGAACAATTTAAGAAATATATATACAATATACATACAATACAACAATATTAATTAATAGAATATATAATTTGCATTATAAATTTGAAAATTGAATGTAACTAATAGGTAGTTAAGAAAGTAATAACATATTGATTTAATACAAGTACAGGTTGAAGACTCTAGATGACATATTCAGTAGTTTTATATAATTATTTCTTTAATTGATGTACAAAAGAATCTGGACTTTACCAGTTATGATTTTTGGTGTAGGTTTAAAAAGAAATTAAAATAATAAAGGTTTTTTTTTTTAAATTTAAAAAAGAATACTTACAATCTATGCTACAAACACAATAAACAAATTTGAACACTAACAACTAAACAACATTTTTAACAACCTGAACACATGAGGAGGGAGGCTATCCTGTAATAGAACCCAACGTTATTTTAATAATAAAGTTATATAGTATTTTTTTCGA